GACAATTGACCAACTAAAAATATAGTAGAAAAAAGAAATTAGCCCGGGCATGGTGGCGCATGCCTGTAGTCCCAGCTACTCTGGAGGCTGAGGCAGGATTGCCTGAGCCCAGGAGTCTGAGGTTGCTGTGAGCCAGGCTGACGCCACGGCACTCACTCTAGCCTGGGCACAACAGAGTAAGACTCTGTCTCAAAAAAAAAACACACACAAAAAACAAAAAAAACCAAAGTTGTGCGAAAAAGGGAGAAGCTCTGAGCACGTTGCAAGCTCTGAGCTCTGAGCTCGCCCCAAAGAGCGTTTACAGTCACAACCGCATACACGCTGCGTGTTGTTCTGGAACATTTGGGAGGAAGGGCTGGCGGGCGCAGCAGGGCTGTGGGGTGTGTGAAAGAGCCGCCTCATCTCTGGCTGTGCTGCCCAAGAGGTCGTATCTTCGCCAGAAAACTCGAGAAGCCTGGAGGTTCGAAGGCCAAGCCGAAAGGGCCCTGGAGCCCAAAGGGCCCCTGGTTGGTGGGAGCTGCGGGGCGGCGGGGGCGGAGGGAGCATCTCCCACGCTTGGGCAGAGCACGCTTCCCTGTGTGAACTTGTTTCTATTTTTAGTGGAGACGGGGTCTCGCTCTTGCTCAGGCTGGTTTCAAACTCCTGACCTTGAGCAATCCGCCCGCCTCGGCCTCCCAGAGTGCTGGGATGTCAGGCGTGAGCCACGGCGCCCCGCCCTCGCACAACTTTTTGAACGTCCTTGAGTTAATGGTTGTCTTTTTGTTATTATTCTATCTTCTCATCGGTAAATAGTCCCAAATTGCTTGCAACTGTCCAGTTCATTCTTCTCAGTTCATTCGAGTCCTTCCTGGAGACCTCCCCAGGGCCACCTGCCGGCCCCCATGTGTGGCACCATCTCTGGCGTCCTGGAGGGACCCGCCGGAGCGCAGCCCTGGCTCTCTTGGCCGGTGCCTCCCCTGCTGGTGCACGCACTCCACCGCCCACCTGCACAGGCCACGCACCTGAGACTGGACTCCATGCTGGCGCCTGGCGGGCACCTGCTGGCGGCGTCCTCGAGGCCGAGGTCGTTGGTCTTGAGAGCATGAAGACTGCGGCAGGCTGAGCCTCTGGCCTGGGATCATCTTCTTTCTTTCTGGAAGATTCCCGGACCACCTCCTGACTCCAGGTGTGTCATGAGATGCTCAGATGTGGGGCTTTGTCTATGTCACCACTCTGGGCCCTCAGCGCACTTTCCCTGTGGACACATGTGCCCTTCAGTTTGGAGAACTTTTCTTATATTATTTCTTTCTTTCCTTTTTTTTTTTTTTTTTTTTTCTGAGACAGGGTTCTTCCTCACTCTGTTCCCGGGCTGGGACTCAAGTACGTGCAATCACAGCTCCCCTGCACCTCAACTCTGGGCTCCGGGTGATCCTCCCCTGCCTGCCTCCAAAGCACTTGGATTACAGGTGTGAGCCACCGTGCCCAGCCGGGGACATTTTCTTATATTGACTTTTTCCACCGTAGCAGATAACACACCCCCTGGCATTGGAATCCCCTCGGGGTCTCACCTTTCTCTCACTCCACTTTAAGAAACGTGCATGTCGCACCCACCGAGCGCGCGCGGAGTGCGGGAATCCCCCCTACCACACGTGTCCGCACCCTACCGTCTCCACGCCAGCCACCAACGGGTGGGAACGACCAAGTGCCCCGTCGCCCCGACGCCGTGGCGTAAAAACGCAACGTGGTCATCAGGAGAGAGGCCGGCTGGTGCCACGCTGCCGCACGCCCCGTGACGCGCAGCTCGCGGGGACCTCGCGCGCTCCGCACGCAACACGCCGCCGCCCCAGCACCACCCGACCGGGCCACCACCCCCACTCCCCACCTGTTTCTTCCGAGCATCAAGAACAGGAAGATGCAAAGAGACAGCAAGCAGTGGTGGCCAGGCAAAGGGCAGTGACTGCAGCTAATAAATGGCGCGGGGTTTTCTCCGGGGCGATGAGAATGTTCTGGAATCCAGTCGCAGGGACAGCTGCACAGACCCGTGAATGTGCACGGTGCCACTGACTGCTGAGACGGGGAGAGCGCGGAGGCGGGTGGCTGCTCAGAGAAAGATCCGGCAAGAAATGGGCTCCCCAGAAACAGAGGTCACCCTGGGGAGGGGACAGGAGGTGACAATAAAAGGAGACTTTGGCCTTATCTGCAATGTTTACAGCTTTGCGAGGGGGTTACCCTTGTCGTTCTTGTGTTATCAAAAAGTAATTTTTAGAATGGAGTGCCTAGTGTGCAGGCCACTCAGAGGGAAGACGGGCCGCACTTCATCTTCCCCCGCCAGGTGGGCCCCAGTCCCCTCCGCCGGCCCAGCGGCCTTCCCGGAAGCCGGGCCCTGTGGCAACAGCATCTGCCTCCAGGACGCCCCCAGCCCGACCACCAGGAGCCTGTCTGCAGGGACAATGGCTCGGAGGGGGCCCGGACACCCCAGAGGGCAGCCCGCTCCCTGCAGGCCCCTTCTGCAGGGCCATATTAATAGGTGACCCATTTATCTGGGGCCGGGGCCTGCCGGCCTGGCCTGGAGCTGAGCCCCCACCGGCCCTTATCTGCCACCAGCCGCACAAACACCAGCAGAAGGCCTGGCTCTTAAAGGCGGTTTACAGCCAGGCGCCTGGCGGCTTTGAACCTTATCTCCCTCCAGCTCGGATGAAAGCCCAGAGCTGCCTCACCCTTCAGGGGCAATTTGCCCCCCTGGCCCAGAAAGCAGGCGCTCGGGGCCAGCCATGGGAGCCCTCTCGGTCCCCTCCCTGGGCTCTGCAGCCTCAGCCCCTCAGTAGGGGGTAGCAGCCACTTTGTGCTGGGCGCTGCCCTGAGGCTCGGCAGTGCCGGTGAGGGCCACTGGGGAAACTGAGGCCCACTCGTCCTCTAGCTGGGGGGCCACTGAGACCCAGACCCTGAGGCCCGGCCATATCCACCCCATCGTGCACCGAGGTTCTGCTGTGTCTCGCCCTGCCACTGCCGGGGAGCCGGGTCACCCACCCATCATGCCCCCAGCACCTGGCGCAGCGGGAGGACCGGGCGAGGGAAGGCCCATGCGGGACCCTGTTTCATCTTCACATCCACATGCAAGGAGGGCCGCAGAGGCGTAAACTGAGGCTCAGGGAGCCCAGGACAGAGCCTGGTGGACAGTCTGCAGTGGCTCTTGGATGGCTGCACGGACGAGTGAAGAGTGACCCCCAGCCACGCTCACCTCCTGCACCCGCCGTCCCGGGCCCTGCTCCTCCTGCACCCGCCGTCCCGGGCCCTTCTCCTCCTGCACCCGCCGTCCCGGGCCCTTCTCCTCCTGCACCCGCCGTCCGGGCACAGTACCAGGAGGCCTGACAATGCTTGCCGAGCCTTCAGCAAAGGAAGCCACTGGCCTGAGGGTGCCACCGCCCCCTGGGGGACCCAGCCCCAGGCACAGCCTGCCCTGGCGTCCACCCACCCAGGCCTCCAGCCCTGGTAAGTGTGGCTCTTGCTGGCCCCTCTGCCATGGCACGTGGACACCCCCAGGCATCTTGAGGGCCCCAGAGCTCTGCCGTGCACCCCCTGCCGCGTGGGACTGTTTGCGGCTGTTGCCAGCATGCTGGGTGTCCCTGTTGGACCCAAAAGTTGCCCTGCCTTCTTGGGCAGGTCTTGGCGATGGCTGGTGAGAGGACTGGGGAAATTGAGGCCTGAGCCAGTGTTACACAGTGGGTCGGAGCCAGCTGAGCCCAGGACCCAGGGCTAACGACACCCAGCCCGGTGCACAGGGGGAGACAAGGCTCCCCATGTGGCGGGGGGGTGGGAAGGAGCCACATCAGCACTCTCCCCCACCCCCTACCCCCCACCCCTGCCTTCTCTGACCTTCAGCCCCACCCCACGGGTTCTCCCTGCTCCACCCCTTTCCCTGCCCTCGCCAAACCTCACCTCCCCTGCCTGGTCTTCCTTGACCATCACCTGCCCGGCACCCCACCCAAGGCAGCCTCAGATTGTTACTGACGGCTCCTGACCCCGCGCTGGCACCAGCCCTGTGCCCTGGCACCAGGGCAACCGGCTCTCCTGTCTATGGCCCCCAGCCATAAGTATAAGTTACTGAGGAAGGGACCTTGGGAGTGCCCTCTCGGCCGGCACACATTGGGCTCTCACCAGATAGGATCTGCACCCTGCATGCCCAGCTCTGCACACAGTGGGCTCTCAGCAGATAGGGTCTGCACCCTGCATGCCCAGCTCTGCACACAGTGGGCTCTCAGCAGATCAGGTCTGCAACCTGCATCCCCAGCTCTGCACACAGTGGGCTCTCAGCAGATAGGGTCTGCACCCTATATCCCCAGCTCTGCACACAGTGTGTGCTCAGCAGATAGGGTCTGCACCCTGCATCCCCAGCTCTGCACACAGTGGGCTCTCAGCAGATAGGGTCTGCAACCTGCATCCCCAGCTCTGCACAAAGTGGGTGCTCAGCAGATAGGATCGGCACCCTGTATCCCCAGCTCTGCACACAGTGGGTGCTCAGCAGATAGGGTCTGCACCCTGCATCCCCAGCTCTGCACACAGTGGGCACTCAGCAGATAGGGTCTGCACCCTGCATCCCCAGCTCTGCACACAGTGGGCGCTCAGCAGATAGGGTCTGCACCCTGCATCCCCAGATCTGCACACAGTGGGTGCTCAGCAGATAGGGTCTGCACCCTGCATCCCCACTTCTGCACACAGTGGGCGCTCAGCAGATAGGGTCTGCACCCTGCATGCCCAGCTCTGCACACAGTGGGTGCCCAGGAAACAGCCACCCAACGAACACAGCTGAGGAGGACTAGGGCTGCGGCATTTTCCATCTGCCTGCACCCACTGGTCCTACAGCAGAGAGGGGAGGTCCCCAATCCCACCTTGCCAGGTCTCATGAGCCCAGCAAGGCCACGCGGCCTGCAATCCACCATGTGACCACTCTGAGCTCAGTTTTCACCTTTCCAGCCAGTGAGCCTGGCCCTAGAGGAAGGGGCAGGTGCAGCCCTGCACCCGCTGTGCCCACACAGGGGAGCCGCCTGATCCTGGCGGGGCAGGGGCTCTAGGGCTTCCCGGTTGCACCTCCCTCCTCCCACCCAGAGAAACCTCTCCTGGCAGTGCCAGGGCCCGGTTGGGCCCAGCTCGTGGGCGGCGCCTTCTCCCTGTGACCCCGGGCAGATGGGTGAGGGTCTCCCTGGGCCTCTTTCCCGAGGGCCCTGACCCCATCCCTGAGGCGCAGCCCTCATGACCTCATCACCTCCTGACGTCATCCCCTCGGGGGAGGTTTCAACATGGGAACGGGGGAGGGGGCACCCACATTCAGTCCATAGTGAAAATAAGCACACGTGTGCACACACATACGCACACACACGGCAGTGCAGACACCCCTCACCAAGGGCCCGGCCAAGGGGGGCACGCAGGCCATGCACAGGCCTCGACCAAGCGCCTGGGGTGGCTGCAGCCCACCCCTGAGAGCTGAGCCCTGGCAGTCATGGTGAGCCAGAGATGACCCAGCCCTCACCTCAGCCCAGGGCCAGGCCACCAGCAGGGAGCAGGAAGTCCGTCCTCTGACCTCACCTGGGCTGCTGGCCGGGATCCTGGGTCCTCCTCCTCTGGGCCCTGCTGTGCCCGGTCCACTCGGGTGCCCGCGGCGGGGATAGTGGCCCCGTAGAGCCAGGAGCACCTGTGCAGAGTCGAGACAGGCTGAGGCGAGGACGGCGGCAGTGAGGCAGGGAGGGGAGAGGGGGCCTGGGGCAGAGATTGCGGCGTGGGTTGGGGAGGACCGGGGAGCGTGGAGTGGTCACGCGTGGTGTTGCTGTCCAGATGACAAATGTGTAAAACTACAGTGCCCAACTATTCCAGCCACCCTGGGCCGGGCCAGCCCCAGCTCACTGTCACCCGGGCCCTACCTGGCTGGGGACACCCATCCTGCCCCGAGCCCCAGAGCTGCCCACTCACCTGGACCCCGCAGACCCAGGCAGACAGGGCAGACCTGGGCCCAGCCCCTGCCCGCCCCAGCACAAGCAGAAGGCCTGCTTCCCCCCTGGGGGGGCCGGGCGGGGCCACTTCCAGCAGCTGTTCCCAGAAGTCCCCTGCGCTCTGGCAGGGGCAGCCCTTATTCTTATTGCCCCAACCGACAGGCAAGGAGACCGAGGCCACCAAGGGGAACTTGCCCTGCCCAAGGTCACCCTCAAGCAGGGTGTGAGCAGAGAAGGGGCTGCTCTGGGCCAGAGAGCTCCTCCTCCCTGCCCCCGGGGCAAGACCAGCAAGACCACCCCGACCCCCGACTGCCCCTCTGCCCTCCCCGACCCAGGCCCCCGTGTCCAGGGCCCCAGAGCAGCTTGTCCTTGTTTGGCGCTTGGCTCCCGCCCGCAGCAGCCCGCCACAAGGTAATCGCGGGAAACAATCCCATCTCTATGTGGCTGCGGACGGACCGGTCGGGCCACTCTCGTGAGATGGCAGAACCCGCTGGGCCGCTCCGGGCAGTCTCTGCCTCCTTTCCGCTCCTGGCTGGGAGAATCGAAAACCTGTCAAGCGGGTTTGGCCAAAATCATGTCTTGTTGCCTGTGCAAGTTCACACACTGCTCGCCTCTGTCTGGGAGAGCGCTGGGGGCTCCGTGCTGAGGTCGGCCGGCGCGGCGGGCCAGGGGCTGAGTGAGTACCCGGGATGCGGGGCCGGGCAGCTGGGGCAGCTGGGGGTGTGGGGGGTACCCACCGTGGAGGCTGGAGGCCCGGCCAGGCCCCCTGCGAGGGGAGGCGGGGCAGGCGGGCGGCACACCCTCCCCCGTGGGGCGCATTCAGGTGCCTGGTCCTGGGGACCACACGTGTAGAAGGGCTCGGTGGGCTTCCTGGGCTGGGGGCCAGGAAGGTGTGGTTGGCTCAGGGACCCAGGGCACCAGGAATGGGCTGATGGCCACACACTCAGCCTGGACCTGCCCCGGCCCTGGCCCCAGCCCTGGCCTCGGCCCTTGGGAGGTGGCAGCAGGTACAGCCGGGAAGTGAGGGGTGGCACATGGGTGGGCACACGCTGCAGCTCGGTGCCTGTGGGAGGTGGTGACAAAGAAGGGCCCTGCTCACCGCCCCCCCCCAGCCAGGCTCAGGGAGGCAGCCCGAGGGTGGCAGCAGCGGCAGGAGGCCGGGAGGGCGGGAGCGGCCCATCCTTGAGGAGTCAGGTTGCAGGACTGCTGTTACCTGAGCTGCAAAGTGACACCTGCCTTGCTCCTCCATGCCTGTGTGCAGGAACACGGTGGGGGGAGGCACACATGCATGGGGTACATGAGTGTAAGTGTGCACAGGCACACGCATGTGCAGCTGTCCCTGGGCACAGCCAGTGAGGAACAGCTGACGCCGTGCCCTGGGCGCCTGTTTGCCGGAATGTGCACAGATGTGTGTTTCTCCATGTTGGGATATTGTCCCTGTCTGCGTGTGTGGATGTGGGTGTCACATGTGTCCTCACGTCTGTTGTGGGTCTGTGTGTCTGGCAGATGTCAGAAACTGCCCTGGCAGACAGCTCTGTGGACCTGGCTCACCACCCCTGAGCTGGCCCAAGGTCACCAGGAGGCCTGTCTGTGCCTGGCTGCATCCCTTGCACGATTGTGATCGTGGACAGGTGACATCTCTGAGTCTCGGCTCCTTCAGCTACAAAACAGAGGTTTCCAGGCCACGCCAGGGGAGCCTATGGGCCGTGCATTGCGCTGGTGAGCCACTGCCCACCCAGCTCCTCTCAGGTGCCCGGCACGGGGGGGCTGGAGGCAGCTCCACCCCCAGGCTGGCCCCAGGCACCTGTCACAGGGTCTGACATTGGAGCACCCACCAGGTGCCAAGAGTCCTGACAGCCAGGGTGGCACAGCCTCCTTCCCGCCTCCAGGAGCCTGGGTCACTGCTCACCACCCATCTGTTATAAGGTTAGGGAAACTGAGGCATGGCCAGACAAGTAACCTGACCAACGTCTCCAGGGGAGAGGCTTTGCCGCTCACTGCAGAGGGTGGGAGGAGGCTCAGCGGCCAGCCAGACCCAGGGTGACACCCTGCTTCCCCCTGCCCGCCTGTGGCCTGACTCGGTGCTCAGATCTGCAGCATGGGAGGACCAGCACCCCTCAGAGGCCCCGTGGGCTCTGACCACGCACGTCTGCAGCGCCGGCAGGCGGGAGGTGCACCACAAACGCTGATGCCACAGCAGTTCGGGGGCTCTGATGGCACCAGCCCCTCTCAGGCTGCAGGAGGCAGGTGGGGGAGGGGCCCCTTGGGGACTGGGTGTTGCGGTGGAGACGGCAAGTCAGGCAGCCGCTCTGAGCTTGGCTTCCACGGCAACACCAGGAGGGTTTCAGCGCCCCTGCAAGCGGGAACAGCCCCGGCCTGGTGCTCGGCACACCCTGGGCACCAGGGCGACAGCAGCCACTGCCACGGCCACTGCTGTGGTGGTCGTCGCTTTTACAGATTGATGGACAGTTGGACGGGTGGACAGAATCAGGGCCCAGCCCAGCACGCCGCCCCGAGGGGCCTGCTGCGGGGCAGGTGGCCTGGGGTGGGGACAGCCAGCCCGAGCAGACGTCCTGGGAGCCCTGAGCCCGGGCAGGCTCCTCGGGGCCAGCGCCCTGGGAAGGGCAGGGAGCTGGGGCCGTGGTCCCCTCCCCTGCGTGTGGGGCCAGACGGTGCCTCCCCTGGGCACAGCCACCAGGACCCCATGGACTGAAGTGAGTCCACAGGGGGCGCCTGCCCCGGCATGTGAGCGCCGTCACTGCTGGGAGCCAGACCTCGCCCTGGCGTGGGAAGGGCCTGCGTCCTCCTGCGGGGGGTCTCTGCAGCAACGGGACGTGGATTTGTCCGGGAGCAAGGGGCTCCCACAGCTCACGCTGCTGGCCCCCTGGGGGTGTGTGCGCGGGGCACAGATGGTGCGGGGTCTCCCTCTGCTATCGCCTGAGCACTTGCCGCCCCGGAGCTCCAGGCCGAGTGTGTGTTGCTGACACGTGTTACCTGTAGGAGCCTCACAGCAACCTGATATAGGTGCGGGGTGTGTTGTTGCTCCCCCAGAGGAGAAAGCAGAGGCTCAGGGAGGTAAAGCAACCTGCGCAAGTTTGCACAGAGCATGAAGATGGGACCAGGAGCCACACGCAGGGTTGTCAACTCAGAGCCCGTTGCTTGAGCCCTGGGCTGACTCTCTGGCCAGCACCTTCACGAACGGGACTCCTGCCCCACCCTAGCCACCCCAGGGGCACAGAGAACCCACCCTAGTGGACTTAAGAATAGCAAACCTCCGCCCCCCAAGTGGCCACACTGGGGAGCCCTGGGAGGCAGGTGGGGAGCCCTAGGGTGGCAGGTGGGGCCCTAGGGTGGCAGGTGGGGGCCCTGAGGTGGCAGGTGGGGTCCTGGGGTGGGAGGTGTGGGCCTAGGGTGATAGGTGGGGGCCCTGAGGTGGCAGGTGGGGCCCTGGGGTGGGAGGTGGGGGCCTAGGGTGATAGGTGGGGTCCCTGGGAGGCAGATTGGGGCCTGGAGAACCAAGTGGGGGCCCTGAGGGGCAGGTGGGGCCCTGGGGTGGCAGGTGGGGGCCTGAGGTGACAGGTGGGGGCCCTGAGGGGGCAGGTGGGGACCCTGGAAGGCAGATTGGGGCCTCAAGGGGCAGGTTGGGGCCCCAACAGGCAGGTGGAGACCCTGGGGAGCAGGTAGGGGTCCTGAGGGGCAGGTGGGGCCCTGGGGTGGCAGGTAGAATCCCTGGGAGGCAGGTTGGGGCCTTGAGGGCCAGGTGGGGTCCACAGCATGTGCCCATCCACCCAGCGAGGACACCAGGTGGAAGGTGTCCTCCAGCCTTCAGGCCCCCTGCAGACGGCTCTCCTGGGCCCTGCCCGTCTGGGGGCAGACAGGTGTCAATGTGCAGCATGTCCCCTGCCCTGGTCTTAAGGAGCATCTGGGTGGGCCCAGGTGCTGGAACCAGTGACGCCCTCACAGCGCCAGGCAGCTTTGGGGGCAAGACCCCCACCTCCAGGTTGTGTCCTCAGTGGCAAAACAGGGCAGAGGTCGAGGCCTGGCAGGCTGAGGGAGCATCTGAGAAGGGACAGCCGTGAGACCCTTCTACCTGCCCCTCCCCTGCCCAGATGCACAGGCCAGTGGGGCAGAGCCAGGTGGGCAGACGCTGACCGAGCTGCCCTGCCCTCCCCTGCTCCTCCTGGGGGCTGGGCACCAGCTGGGGCCTTCCAGCCTGGGCACCCTGGGGGAGCGGGGGTCCCTGGACCTGTCTGGGGCCCTGGAGAACAGAGCTCAGATCTCTGCCCACCTACCCGCCCCAGCCCCGTGAAGCCCCCAAGGCTCCCGGGAGACTCAGGCCACCCTCTCCTGTGCACGGCATCCCCAACGTCTCTCCCATCACAGCCCCACTGCAGCCCCCAGGCCGGGGGAACTTCAGAGTTGCCTGCACCCCCAGCACCCCAGCCACCCTTGGCAGGCGCGACACATGCAGACCAGGCCAACGGGGGAGAGCTGGCCTCCCAGCCCTGGCTTGAGGCTGTGGGTGTTTTTCACAGCCCAGTCCGTTTGGCCCAAGCCACCAGCTCTTCCCGAAGGCACCAGGACGGGCAGACCGCGCCCCTCCAACTCCCAACCCTTCCCCAGAACCCCCCCCCCGACCCTCCTGGGGATCAGGCTGCCCCAGAGGGACAGGAGCCCAGGAGACTGGTTCCGGCCACTGCCTTGGCCACATTGGTTTCCACCACCTGCCCGCCCAGGGACGTCACACCAACCCCACAGCGCTGTCACCCACGTGCAAGTGGCCTTGCCCAGTCCCATCCCCGCCCTGGGCCCCCCCAGGAAAGGAGGGGCTCCCAGCAGGGTGCACCCCTTCCCTCTCAGATCCCGACTCCCACACGCCCTGCCTCGGGGCCTCCCGCACCTGCTGCCCAGAGAGCAGGTCTGGGGTGGGGGCCTTGCGAGGAGCAGCGGGCGAGGCCTGCAGGGGGGTCTGGGGCAGAGGGAGCCACACCATGGTGGCTTCGCCGGGCACGAGACCCGCCTCTCGTGCAGACCAGAGCCTGTGCAGGCCACTCTGGCCCACGGGCACCGCGGGCTCCCTTGGGCGGCTCCTTTACGGGCGTCGGCCCAGCCCACGCAGCGGGCGCCGGGCGGGAAGAGCTGCCCGTCGGGCGGGTCTGGGTGGAATTTCAGGAGCTGCGGCTCGGCCCCTTCCTGGCCCTCCTCGGCCCGACCTGCCACAGCCTGGGCCCACAGAGGACCCCGCTCAGGGTCTCACCTCCCGGGGCCCTCAGCAGGGTGAGGCCAGCACAGCCGGCACGCCAGGGCCACTGGGGGAACCCACCCCAGCCCCCACTTCCCCGGGCAGGTGGCGTGATCTCTTTGAGCCTCAGTTTCCCCATCTGGGGAGTGGGAACCTCAGGGTTTCGTCAAGATTAGATGCTCCATCCTGAAACTGACAGTGTACGCAGAGCTCGGGAAGTGGGGCCGGAATCATCACTGATCCCAGCCGGGTGACCCGCACCCTGGCTCGAGCCCCCCTCCCCTCGGCCTCTAGAATCCAGCGTCGTGGTGGCGAGGGCACCCTCCCCAAGAGCCCTCACCCACCCGACACAGAGCCACCCACCATCACCCCCACTCCCTCGGCAAGCTCTGGGGCCATCTGGGAGCCCAGGTGGGTCTGAGATACAAGTTTGGGGAGCCCCACCCTCTGCCATGGCCCAGCCAGCACTGCCCAGCCGGCCCCCGTGGACACTGCAGTCGCCCCAGGACACAGGCCCTCCCTCTGCCCCTGCCCCACAGCCCCGCTGCCCCTGCCAGGCACGGCTTTGCCCTGTGCTGGACACCTGGCCACAGTGTGAGGGCCTCCCAGCCACCATCCTCACCCCAGGCACCAAGGCTTCTCCTGGGACCAGGGCCTGCCTCCCTGGGTGGGGGTGCCCCTCCCAGCCTCACACCAAAGGCACCCCGACTTCCAGGAGCCCAGAGTGGTGGTGTCTCCTGCACCTGTTGTCCTCACGCATCTGGCTCCTGTCATTTGGCCTTACACTGCACTGGGCGCTGGGCTCTGGGCTGCATGGCACCTGTCCTGCCGGTGGGTATGCGTGCAGCCGTGGGGTCTGGGGGTTCTGGTTTGGGACCATCCTGCGCAGCGCTGCTGCTGAACAGCCTTTGAAAATGCAAAGGAGGTGGGCAGGTGTCTCACACCCAGTGGCCCCAGCACTGTGGGAGGCTGAGATGGGAGGATTGCTTGAGGCCAGGAGTTTGAGACCAGCCTGGGCAAAATAATAAGACCCTGTTGCTACAAAAATTTTTTTTAAAAATTAGCCAAGCATGGCAGTGCGGCACTTGTATTCCCAGCTGCTCAGGAGGCTGAGGCAGGATCGCTTGAGCCCAGGAGTTCAAGGTTGCAGTGAGCCGTGATCACACCACTGCACTCCAGCCTGGGCGACAGAGCCAGAACTTGTCTCAAAAAAGAAAGAAAACATGCAAATGGGATTGTGTCCCCATCCCTGTGTGACCTGCTGGGGCCTGGCAACCGTGAGGCTTTGGGCGTGGTTTGAGCAGACGTGTGCATCTGGATGGAGGGATGGCCGGGCTGCAGCTGTGGAAGTGCTCCCTGGGTGCCGGGGAGGCCAGGGAGGGCCCGGCACAGTGGTCTGTGTGGCACCAGGGTGCAGTGTTCATGGGCATGCATCACACACACACACACACACAGACTGTCCCAGGCAGGACAGAAGGCAGCCTGACCCCGTGGGAGCCACTCCAGCACGGAGGTCAGCCGCGGAGGCCAACGGGCTCACAGAGGCCCAGCTGGGAGCCAATCTTAGTGGGGGGAGGGGCCCCACGGCCCCACAAGCCCAGTCCTCCCAGCCTCCTGCCCGGGCTCTCCCCAGGTCATGGGGAGCTGGGACGGGCCCCAGGGTCCCCAGGCCCAGCCTACAAGGACCCTGCGTCCCCTTAATTCTGGCCTCAGGCTGTGTGGACCAGGTGTCCACAGCTGACCGAGCCCTCCCGGGACCTGTGCACAGGGAAGGCTGGCAGCGGGGGCCCTCTCAACACGGGGTGATTTCCTTGGGCAGACCAAGGCTGCATGTCTGCATGTCCATGTCTGTGTATGTGTCTGTGTGTGCATGTGTGATTGTGCATGTCTGCATGCGTGTTATATGTGTGCATGTGTGTTATATATGTGCATGCATGTCTGTGAATGTGTATTGTATATATCCAAGTGTGGCGGTGTGTGCGTGTGTGATGGTGTGCATGTGTGTTGTGCGTGTACCTGCTGTCTCTGTGCATGTGCACGTGCATGACCTTGGTGAGTAGAATCCCGAAACCTCACACCGCACCATCTCCACCTGCCTGTGAGGTTCCGGGTCCCGCAGCCCAACCTCGGGCAGCCCCCGCAGCACGGAGTGGGTTCTGCCCACACAGGCCACACAGCTCCTGCGCTGGGCTCTGCAGCCCTCGGTTCCTTCCTAAGCCAGCCTCTCCCCACGCCCTCCCTTACAGGCCGGAAACAGAGGGCAGGGGGGTCCCCACACCCCAGCAGCGGGGCCATGGAGAGCTTCACGGAGTCGCTGAACAGGCTGAAGGAGACCCACGAGAAGGAGGTCCTGGGTGAGTGGCTGGGGCCAGGCGCCAGCTGGGGGAGTCCACAGCCCCCAGCTCCACTGGTGGCCCCGAGGGCCTGGGCAGGCCAGGGCCCTCCCGCATGCCATGTCCAACTGTCACCACGTCCGGGGCCCCCATCCTTCTGGCCCAGGAAGGGGTGTCCTGAGCCGAGGCCCAGAGCTGCACGCTGCCCCCTGCCGCACGCTGCCCTCCACTGGAGGGTCGGCAGACCACGGCTCGGGGTGTGGCCCCAAGGGAGGGCACTCTCCAAGCTTGCCACCCACCCTGCATGGCGCCTGCCATGCCCAGCGGGTCCCTGCGGTGTCTTCCCAGAGGCTTGGCCTGAGCCAGGCAGGAAAGAGACGGCAGCCCTGGCTTGGGGACCCCTCACCCAGGGCAGGGCCCCGGCGCCTCCCAGCAGAGGGTGCCGCTTCCAGGAAGAGGAGCACACGGCTCCTGGGACCCGTCCAGAACACAGGCACAGAGCTGAAATTCTCTCTCCCCCAGACCTGCCCCAGGCCTCACACTCCCGTCCAGTTCCCCCACAGGGACAGGGCTGCAGCCCCCTCCAACCGCCCACTCCAGGGCCAGGGCCAGCGCCTCCCTGGGCCCTTTCCAAAGAGCACCCACGCCCACCCAGGGCCCAAAAGTCCTGTGGCTGCTTCCTGAGCCACCGAGAAAGGTGGGGCTGCTTGGGCGAGACCCCACGCCTCCCCAGCCCCAGGCTAGCCCGGCCGAGCCGATTTTCAAAGATGTAGCAATGAGAGGTCTGAGGGGTCTGCCCCACAGCCCTCCATTTCGACACCAGCTGCACCCCCAGCCCCTCTCAGCATCTCTGCTCTTCCCATGTGGCTGGTTAGGGTTAGGGTAGTGCCAAGGCCCCCACCAACCTCCCGGCAGATGCCAGAACCAGAGACCCCAGGGGAGGGAGAGACACTGGCCACAGGCCACAGGGTCTCAGGCAGCCCCAGAGACTGGCGGAGGCCGAAGCCAGAGCATGCAGCAGCAAGAGGGGCTCTGGTGGGGGTCACCTGGACAGGTGGGCGGGATCTGGAGAGCCCCCGCATGGCAGCTGGGGCAGGGGATGCTGCCGGCAGAGGGGGCCATGGGGGGCCTGACCTCCTGCCCTCTGCTCGCTCCACCAGGCCTGCAGAACAAGCTTCTGGAACTGAACTCGGAGAGGTGCCGGTGAGTCGGGCCAGGCCGGGCCCAGGGAGAAACAGAGGCCCCTCCCCAGGGGCCACGACTGCTCAGGGCATCCCCCGAGCCCCAGGGCACCAGCACTGCCACCGTCCGCTGGCGTGGGAGGGGACACTGGGCCTTGGCGCAGGGCTGGGGGACGGTCACTCGTGCAAGGCCACAGCGAGCAGGTGTGGAGCCGGGATGGGACCCGGGCGCGCTGGTCTTGAGGGGTGTCCAGTCCTGCACTCGGGCACCTCCGCCCAGGGCCGCAGTCAGAGTGTCGGCAACAGCACCCGCCACGAGGCCTTCAGACGTGGCCACACCCGATCACACGGCGGCCTGTGGCCGGCTCCCGTGTTCCCCCGTGTCACAGACCGGGCTGTGGCTAAAGAGGCACAGGGACAAGACAGAAGTCACAAAGTGGCACACGCATGACTCATGTTAGGGGCCACCTGTTTCCCGGGCAAGGCCCCACCGTGGGGTGCACAGACAGGACCCGGCCCCAAACCCAGCCTAGGGGGTGCGGGACCTCAGGCTGGGCCTGGGGCTGCACAGTGGGGACAGCGTGCGGCTTCCCAGCCGGAGTGGCCCCCAGCTCGCATGTGCCGCCACAGGGACGCGCAGAGGCTCGAGGAGCTCTTCGCCAAGAACCACCAGCTGCGCGAGCAGCAGAAGGCGCTGAAGGAAAACCTGCGGGTGCTGGAGAACAGGTGGGCGCGGCCGCCGGGCTCCTGGTGGGGAGACGGCAGGGTTCCTTGGAACGAGTTTGGGAAACTCTGGGGTCCACTGCAAGACTTTGCAGAGCCTTAAGTAAATTGCACTTATAAGATTTCTCCTGGCCAGGCGCGGTGGCTCACGCCTGTAACCCTAGAACTCTGGGAGGCTGAGGCAGGTGGATTGCTCGAGGTCAGGAGTGCAAAACCAGCCTGAGCAAGAGTGAGACCCCGTCTCTACCATAAATAGAAAGAAATCAATTGGCCAACTGATATATATAGAAAAAATTATCCAGGCATGGTGGGGCATGCCTGTAGTCCCAGCTACTTGGGAGGCTGAGGCAGGAGGATTGCTTGAGCCCAGGAGTTTGAGGTTGCTGTGAGCTAAGCTGACGCCACGGCACTCTAGCCTAGCCTGGACAATAAAGCGAGATTCTGTCTCAAAAAAAAAAAAAAGATTTCTCCCAAACTCAGTTGAACATGGGGCACTTGGTCCACAGGGCAGGGAATAGGCCTGGGGTTCCACAGAACACCATTTGGGAAAGGCAGGGGCACCCCCTGGCACTGGCCTCAGTTGCGACCTCAGCGACCTCTCACCTCCGCGTCCCCACAGGCTGCGGGCTGGCCTGTGCGACAGATGCATGGTCACCCAGGACCTGGCCAGGAGGAAGCAGCACGAGTTCGAAAGCTCCCACCTGCAGAGCCTGCAGCACATCTTCATCCTCAGTGAGCTGCCGCAGACCCTCGGGGTCCCTCGGGGGGAGCGGGGTTCATCCCACGTGGGGTCACGGGGAAGGAGGGCAGGCAATCCAGCCCCATGCCACCAGGGGACACCCCAGACCCCGATTTGCAGACAAATGGAACAAAGCCACTGCCGGCCCCGTGTGTCCCCACCGTCAGTCATCTGGCTGGTGTCCTGCCGTGACGAGGAAGGGCCCACAGAGGCCCGGGGTCGCACTGGTCCCACCGGTGATGGAGGACCAGCTCCCTGCCCCTTGGGGGAAGCCGCAGAGACATGCATGGGGGCTCCCGGCACTTTCTACCACCTGGAGGCTGGCGCTGCTTACTCAATGACGCCCAGCCCTCCACTCACGTGACAAGTATTTATGGGGTACCTGCTGTATGCCAGGCCCCGGGCCGAGTGCTGGGGACACCGCTGGGAACAAGAGCAGGAGGGACCCCTTGGAGGACCCCCTCCCCCCGCCCCTGCTGTCCTCCCCACCTGCTGCCATCACCCTTGCCTTCTGCAGCCGGCGAGATGAACGGGCTGAAGGAGGAGAATGAGGCCTTGAAGGAGGAGGTGAAGCGGCTTCGGGGCCTGGAGTAAGTGGGAAGGGGGCCAGGCCCGGCACCCCGAGTCCCCGGTGCCCCCCACACAGGCACTTGGCACATGTCCACAGTAACGGTGGAGCCTCAGGCAGCGTCAGAGAGCGGGTCTCCCCGGGGCAGCTGGGTCTCCCTGCAGAGGGTGCCCTGCCCCCCTCAGAGACAGGCCTCTGCCTCCCCCCAGAGACAGGCCCAAGCCCCTGGCCAGGGAGCACACCTCGGACCCCCCCTCACCCTTGCGCCTCCCCTCCCCCGGCGCCTGGAAGGCCATCACCGAGAAGCCGCCAGGAGGCCCCAAGGAGGCTGAGGAAGACCAGCTGGGCGCAGGTCCGTGGGGTGAAGGTGCTGCAGGGAGGCGGGAGGCTGGGCCCCCCCAGGGACGTGGAGCACCTGGCCAGGGGCAGAGCACCCCAAGCGCCTCCCCGGCTCTCACATGGCTGCTCCTTCCACAGAGAAGCCAGCAGGGCCCAGGACTTCTCCAGGGGCCAAAATCTCCCCGGCTGCCAACCTGCCCGAGCCTCGGCCCCCAGACCTGGTAAGGGCGAGGGAGCCGGCGCCACCACACTCAGCCAGGCCAGCCCCCCACAGCAGGCTGGCAGCTGCGTCCCTGTCCTTCGTGCCGGGCGGGGACCCCTGCTCTCCCTTGACGTGGGTGGAGGTGAGGCCAGGGGGAGGTGCCCTGCCAGGCTCACGCAGAGAGCAGGGCCAGAGCGGGAGCAGCCCTGGGCCAGGGGCAGATGGCAGCTGCTGCCCCGCCCCCCAGCTGCCCCCGTCTCGTGCAGAGCCCCCAGCGCATCTCCAACCAGCTGCACGGGACCATCGCCGTGCTGCGGCCTGGGTCCCGGGCCTGCCCGGCCGAGCGTGGCTCCACCAATGGGACGCCCCCGCCGCCGCCCGCCAGAAGCAGCCCCCCCAGCCCGCCGTATGAGCACAGCCTCCCCCTGGACAGGTAAGGGCCCTGCCCACCACGGCCACCAGGAGCACCCTCAGCTGAGCTCCCATCCCAGACTACTCCGGTCCTGGGCAGGGGCCAGCAGCCCAGGAAATCCCTCTGCTCACCCCTCCAGGAGCCCTGCTCGCCCTGGCGTGGCTTTTTCTGGGTGCCCTGCCAGTAGTGGCATTCCCACGTGCAGGCTGAGTGGCCAGGCCAGGCACGGGGCAGGGGACGGGCTCCAGCCTTTGGAAGTGCTGCCAGAGGGGCCTGCAAGGCGTCCGTCTCCTGTCTGGGAACATGGGCGTCGAGGTGGGTGGAGGTGGCCTGGGCACCCCAGCGGGGGAGCAGGCTCCCCAATGTTCCTGGGAGCAGGATGGAGAACACCCTGCCGGGAAGAGGCAGAGGCCTCTGTGGCCAGGCCCCTCCTCGGAGCCCAGACCCCAGCCCACCCCTGGCCAGGGTGACAAGCGCCCACACAGCCTGGCCTCCGGGGCTGGGGACCAGGTCACTGCCTGCGTGCGACCTTGGCACTCGCTTCCTCTCTCTGGGCTGCAGTTTCCCCACCTGTGAAATGGGCACCTGTCAGGGCCACGCGGCCGGTCACCACTAGCCGCGGGCCACAGTCATTGGGCTTCTCCTCCTCACAGCTTCCTGCGGGCCTCCCGGCCACCCGCCGTGCCCCGTGAGTCCCTGAAGCGCTCCCCCCAGGCCGAGCGCCTCTGCCTCCTGAGCCACCACCTCTCCCTGCACCTTCGGAGCCCCCTCGGCCGTCCCCCGGCCCCCGCTGCAGCCCCGGGCAGCCCCCGGCTCCAGGGCCTGAAGGCCAGAGAGGCAGAGGCCTGGGAGGAGCCCTCGGGCCTGCTGGGCCTGCCCAGCGCCCTGGTGGGCACGCAGGACCCGCGGCTGGAGGGGGCGCTGCACCTGCTCCTGGCCCGGCAGCTGCGGGCGCGGGCGCAGGCGGGCAGTGCCAGGCCGGGCGGCCCACCCTCGCCTGGGGACACTCAGCCCTCCCCACCCGTCGGCTCAGACTCCGAGGGACCCGAGAGCGAGGCGGCTGGGGCGGCTCCAGCCTCAGCCGTCCTGCCTGGGGGGCATCACCTGCAGCCCCCAGGCCCAGGCGGCCCCAGCAGGAAGGAGGCCACAGCCGCACAGGACTACGCCCCCGACAAGCCCCTGGACCTCTCAGACCGGGGCCGAGGCCGGGACGCCCCCAAGACAGCTGGCCGGCCGGGGCCCCTCAGCCCCACGACTGCGCACACCCCCAGCCCCACGCCGCCCGTCCCGTGCGAACCCTTGACTCACAGCCCCCAGGCACTCAGCAATGGCACCCGAGCACCGGAGCTGGAGGAGCCCCCGGCCCCCACAGTAAGGAGCCCCGTCCGGTCCTCGCGTCCCCTCTGCGTCCCCACCCCGCCTCGGCAGCTCTCTTCCCCCCACCCCAGCAAGTCAGCCCCCAAGGAGAAAGCACACTGCCTAGTTCACACTAGCAAGGGAAAGGCTGCCCGGGCTGCAGCCCACACGGGGCCAGGCAGGCGGAGTCTGGGGCTGCGCTGGGGGATGGGAAGTCCCCTCGAACAAGCTCAAGCCACTGACCTGCCTCCCCTAGGACCCCTCACGCCCACCCGCAGGGGCCCAGCCCAGCCTGCCCTCTCCAGGCGGGACAGAGGATGAGGCCAGAGGAAGGCCTGACCCTGAGAGCCGTCCAGGTAAAGTGAGCAGCCGGGAGGTGGCGCCATAGCGGGGAGGGGGGTGTGGGGTCAGTATCCGCATTTAGGGGGTCTTAAGGCTCCACTCCGCCCCTTGGCCTGACTGGCCAGATACCCAGTCTCGGGCCAGGGTCCTCCCACCTGCAGGCACCAAGGAACTGGGCCCCAGGCAGGCTCCTCTCGCCACACTCAGTGACCAGCAGAGCAGCTGAGCACTGGGGTCTGGCAGGCAGGTGGTGAGCTCCCCGTTGCCAGTGACCAAGCCAGGGAAGGGCACCCCAGCTGGTGGGGTCCACACACAGGGATGTGGAGACACCAGGCCTGGGCTCAAACCCCAGTCTGCCCCTCACCAGCGAGTGCCCAAGGCAGGTTGCTTGGCCCGTCCATGCATCAGTTTCCCCATCTGCAGAGTTGTCTCTACCCGTCCCCGTCTGGCAGGCTCGGGAGCCTCCGGGGCTACCCGCCTGGTCTGACCCTACGCCCTGTGCCCTTCAGAGCCCAGCCAGGCCAGAGCGCAGAGGCCAGAGCCAGACGCACTGGACCAGTCAGACTCCTCAGACAGTGAGGTGGGTCCCTGGCTGCACGCTGGGGGCGGGGGTCCTGGGGTGGCGGTGCCCGGCAGGGGATTGGTGCGTTCCTTCGCTGACTACACCCCCTGCCCCCCAGGGGGAGCTGAGCTCCGAGGCCAGCGCCAATCTGAGCGTGCCAGGGGAGGGGCCCGGGTGTGTCTGCGCCCAGGAGCACGGGCAGGGTCTGCCGCAGAAGAGGAAGCGGGACGCAGACCTGGGGGGCCAAGGTATGCCGCAGGGGCCGGGTGGGCTCCACAGCACCAGCCTCCCCCACGCCACCTCCCCTCCTGGCCCCCACACTGAGTGCCTGGGGGCTGTGAGTCAGGGCTTCGCAAGGGGCGGACGGCGTGGGGCTGGGGGTGTGGGCAGTGGTGGGGCTGAGGGGCCCCGGCTGGCCAGCCGTCTTGGGGGCGTCCTGGCCGCGGCCCCGGTCTGAGAGGTCCTGGCCACCCAGGGAAGGATCCTCAGGACGGTGGAAGCAAGACAGGAAGCCCTCTCGCATCTCCTGCACAGACCAGAGAGGGGCAGGCCTGGGGGTCCTGACCGTGCGGCTCCCCCTGTGCTGCCTGGGGCCAGGTCCTCGCTGGTACCAGGGCTCACATGACATGCCAGTGGGGCAAGGGATGGGAGGTCCCCAGCGGAGAGCCGAGGACAGTCACCATCACCATCCGGGGAGGGAGGGGTGTCCTGGTCCACAAGCCGCCCCCACCGAGAGGGCATGGGGTCCCCGGACCCTCCTGTGCACCTTCCGACAGGAGCAGCGGCAGAGGTGAGGGGCGTGTTTGCTCCCGCTGGGGCTCTGGGGGGCTGCTCAGACGTCCGCCTCGGGCAGTGCCCGTGGGCTCGGCGCCCTCCAATCAGGTGGCAGGAGCACGGCCCCGGTCCGAGGGTGTCCGCACAGCCGCCCACTTCCTGCTCTGGGCACAACGGCACCCCCATTCCCGGCTGGGCCTCCAGGAGCCCTCGGGAGCCCTTGAACGCTAAGCTAATAATTGCGCAGCCCTGTGTTTATCTAAGCAGGGCCCGCAACGTGCAGGCTGGGCTGTGCCACTACAATGTGCCATTGTTGCCAGGAAGGTGACCGTGGCCCGAGTCCGCCCCGAGCAGCGGTTGAGAGGCCAGGACACCTGTCCCATTTTGAGGCACCTCCTGCCGTGGGTGTGTGGACATGGTCCTGGGTGGGGCGCAGCCCGCGGGGGTTTGAGCTGCCACTCCTGCCCTCCACCTGAGCCAGGCCAGCCCCCGTCCTCCCACCTGGGCCAGGGAAGGGGGCAGCTGGGAGGGGGGCTCACTCCCAAGACTGCAGTCTGGCAGTCGGTGAGGACGGGGCCTTTGCCCCACGTGTGCCCGCCCTACCCCGCCCAGGGAAGGCACCACGCGGCTTAGCGCAGGGCCAGCCCCCTCCAGTCTCATGCCAGGGACAGTGGGAAGTGGCATGCCTTTGGGCCTCACAGCCCTGCCCAGCGGTAGGACTGTCACTGTGTCACTGTGGGGGAAGTTGGGGTCCAGAGAGGTGAGGAAACTTGCACAAGGTCACAGGGCTGGTACCTGGAGTCAGGATCAGACCTGACCTGTTCAACCCGGAACTTGAGCTCATTCCGCGCCAGAGATGGACCTGGGCCCAGCATGGTGGCAGGTCCCACCCAGGACCATCTCAGGGACCAGGCGCCCCTCCCTGTGGCTCCCACCCTAGCCCCAGCGCCCGGGAGTGGCCCACTGAGGCTCCGAGCGCATGTCCCACAAGCTCAGGTATCCGGTAGGTCCCAGGCGCTCTGCACAGCAGCCAGGGAGGTGCCCCGCCAGAGCCCGTCTGCAGGTTACACACCTGGGGAGAAGGGCCTCCCTGCCACCAAATCCTCATCCTCAAGCGGGGCCACCCCTGGGCATTTGTTTCTGTTAGGAACAACGTCACCAATGCGGGCTCTAGAGTGCCCAGACACTGCCCGGGAGGCCCCGGGTGAGAGTCGAGTCGCTCAGGGGACAGGCAGGGTCTCGGGGGCCACTGCCGTGCCTCCTGCCTGACCGCAATCCACATCCCACAGCCTCCAAGAAGCCATCCCGAGGGAGAAGGAGAGAGAGGGAACCCCTGACTGCATCTGAGGAGCCGGGGAGCCCCAGGGACGCCCAGGGACGCAGCCCGTCCCCCCACAGCAGCAGCTGGGAGGAGACCTAGCCACCGACCAGGTCGCCAGCCTTGCCCAGAGGTGGCTCTCCACCTGACTGACCTCGGCCCGGACAGGCCACACACCGTGGGGCTGCGTCCCAGCCGCATCCGGAGGGGCTGGGAGGGCTGAGATGGGGCCTCGGGCGGGTGCTGCGTTCCCTGCGTTCCCTCCATCTCCACTGTCTCGGAAACGCCCTGCTGGCCCCGCAGCACCCTCAGCTCAGCACCTGCTCCCTGGGGACAGCGCGGACGGGAGGCAGGGATCCCTCAGGCTCCCGCCCCGCCCTCTGAAGGCAGGAAGGACCACACCGGCCTGCACCCTGCAGCCGGGGCCACCCTGCCCGCCGGGGGCCAAGCCACGGTCTCGGGCGCCCCCTCGTGGACTCTGGCAAACGGGACAGAGGGAGATGGCGGGTGGTGGCGCCCTTGCAGAGAGGGTCCCTAGGGACCGGGAAAATAAACACGTGAAGAAGGACGTGTGCATCTGGCAGGGCCGGGGTCAGAGGCCCCAAGAGCTGCTTGATGGCGCCAGGGACCCAGAGGTTACTACCTTGCAAGAGGGCAGAGCAAAACCAGCTCCTCTGCCCACTGAAGCGTGTTAAAGGGACCAGGGCACCCTCCAGAAAGGGCTTGGGGACAGTGACAGGGTGCAGGCACCTGCTGGGTCACCACTGACACACTCCTGAGCACCTGGCCCCGAGCGTGCCACCGACCCCTCCATGCCGGGCACGGCCACAAGGCAGCTTGCCCAGGACCCCAGCAGCACTCAGGGTGCCTGCTCCCTGGGCCACTGCTGCCTGGCGAGGACGTGTTCCCAGGCCTCCAAGCTCTGGCTGGGAGCGTAAGAAGCAGATTCCTGGGCCCATCCCACCCTCCCAGCCAGGAACTTACAAGGCCCTGTGTTGTGGGGCGCTCCCAGGAGTAATTCCCAGGCACACGGCGTCTGAGAACTGCCCCTTCCAGGGCAGAGACAGCAGGGCCTCAGCTGGGTGTCACCTCAGCTCTGCCCCACGGGCAAAGTAGCAGCAGCTCTGGGTCACAGCCTGGGGGAGGAGGGCAAAGATGGGGAAGAGAAATTTGGGTTTTGAGGGACAAACGGGAGTGTACCAAGTAGGCAAGGGGAAAATGTGTTCTGGGAAGTTTGCTAAAATCAGAACGCTAGGAAAGTGGGCGAAAGATTAGGCGGAAAAGAGAAGTAGGGGCTATAGAGGGATGTCCAAAAGGGAAGCTCAGGGTGCCAGGCTGAGGGACAACTAGGACGTCAACCTGAGGGCCAGGCCTGCAGTCCAGGGTCATTCCTTACCATGCCCCCAGAGGCACCCAGACAAGGCTCTGACCCTGACACCTGGTAAGAGGCCAGGTGGGAGCCAGAGAAAACTCAGGAGCACACCTGGGAGTGAAGCTGGGGCAGGGTGACCACGGCACCGAGGTGGTGGGAGTTTCGAACCCCGTTGCCTGCAGGGAAGGCAGGACTCGGGCCAATGACTAGGCTGGGTGAGGCCTGCGCCAGACTGGGGGTGCAGGCCTGACCAACGGGCACCGCTTTCCCACCTGCTGCCTGCAGCCAGTCCGCCTGCTGGCCAGAGAGGACAGAGGGACTGAATTCCCGAGAGGGGTGTGTGTGTGTGTGTGTGTGTGTGTGTGTGAAATCTCCAAGTTGTTAAAAGTTGCTCTGATATTTCCAAAATCAAATGAAACAAAGCCATGTGCCCCCCCCCCACATTGGCCCGCTGTGGCCAGGCTGGCTGGCGGCCACCCCCCAACACCCTAAGTGGGAGAGAAGCCTCTCGCTGCAAGAGCCTAGCAAGGAGCCTGCCAGATGGAGGGAGAAAGAAGCCCACACTCCTCCTCCGGTGCCCCTCGAGCACCCCCAAAGCCGAGCGTCATGCGCGCTGGCGAGAGGGAACCAGCCCCAGTCCTGCAGGCAGGTGAGCACAGATGCAGTCCACCAACGGCTGACTCTCCCCCACCTCTGCGCATGCCCCGGGCTCAGCCCTTGACAGCGCTGTCCTCACTCAGGCCTCCCTCAAGGAGCCCCCAGGTGCAAGGTCAGCACCCCCATCTTGCAGAGGGATCTACAGCCCCCAGCACTACCCGCCAAGTCAGCAGAGATGGTGCCGGTGACGCCCACGGAGGGGCCCTCGACGGGCAGCTCTCCTCCAGTCTCTCGGGAGCCCACTCCTGGGAGCGGCTGGCGGGACACAGGCAATCCCCACCTCACCCTTGGGCCCGCCCGAGTTCTCCCCGACTGCCCACCTTGCCCCAGGCCTGGCAGAGGCCACGAAGGGCAGAGGAGAGCGGGCGGGGCTGGGCGCTGGGTGAGCCCAGGCGAGGCGGGGAAGGGGCCTGGAGGTCAGGACCCCAGTGAGGTGGAGGGGCCCACTGCATATTATAGCTTGCCACAATATTCTGTCTCCCGCCACCAGCCAGCTCACCCACTTCCTTGCTGCTGGTCGTGCCGGACGCCCCCCAGGCGCCCCCAGGGCCAGGGCCTGCCCGCCCCCCCACCCCCACCCCACCAGGGCCTGCCCGCCCCCCCACCGGGCCCTGCACGGGAGAGGCGGGAGGGTAGTGGCTGCTTCCTGAAGGCGGAACGGGTCCCAGCCTGACGGCACCCTGGGGCCACGGTCACACAAGTAAACGCGGCCCAGGCTGGACAGGACAGGCAGGTGGACGCCGGGCCCCGCGCCCCCAGGCACGGCTGGGCCCTCCAGGCGCCGGGCAGGGCGGAAACCCAGGCCTGGGCACGCGCGGGCTCAAGGTCACTTTGCAGCCAGGGAGGCGCAGCACCGCCCGGGCCCCACCCCAGGCCGGCGCCTTCCGCCGCAGACCCCCGTGTCTCCGTCAGGGGGCGGCCAGGTGGCTCGGCGGCTCCTCCAGCCCGCCCCGCGCACGAGGCGCCGCCCAGACACCTGCACCGGGAAGCGCGCTGGGGCCTCGCCCACGCCGCCCGGGGCCGGAGCCCTAAATGCGCCTCGATGGAGGCTGCCGCGAACACCGCCGCCGAGCATGGGGAACAGGGGGCCCGCCTCGAACCCGGCCGCGGGGACTCGAACCCGCGGGGCGACGCGAGGCTCGCGGCTCCCTGGGGGAGAGCCCCAGCGGCTTCTAGGACCCAGGGGAGCGGCCGAGCACCGCGCCGCTCTGGCCAATGGGCGTGCGCGACAGCGATATATTTACATGTAGGCACGCAGCGACCAATGGGCGGTGGGCGTGGGCCCGGGGCGGGCCGGGGCGGGCAGGCGGCGACAATGGGCGCGGCGCGCGCCGGGCGGGCGCGCGCGCGGGCGGCGCGCAGTCGGAGATGCCGCGGCCGCGGCGGTGGAGCTCGGGCCCGCCCCGCCCGCCAACCCCGCCGCCGCCGCCGCCGCCCGGCCACCGCAGGCGCTGCGGAGGCGCGGGACTCGCGGCGCCGCCAGGCGCCTCTTCTTCCTCAACAACATCTCCCTGGACGGGCGGGCTCCAGCTGCGGCCGGGAGAGAGAGCCCCGCGCGCGCCGCCGAGGCCGCGAGCCGCCCGCGCGCGCCGCAGCCGGCCCGCCAGGGCCCCCGCGCCCCCGGGCCTGCTCAGCCCCACGCAGGCGCCGGCCGGCCTCGGCCTGGACGGGCAGCGCCAGAGGTGAGAGGGCCGGGGAGGGTCAGCCGGGGGCGCGGGGTCGGGCGGGGCCGCGGTTACCTGGGCTGCCTCAGTACAGAACCGGGAGTCAGGTGGCCTGGGGCTTTGCCAGCGCTGGACATGGGCTCAGGTGACCTGAGCCCCCATCAGCCCAGGACCGCGGTCAGGTGGCCTGGCACCATCAGCCAGGACACGGTCAGGTGGCCTGGGCACCCATCAGCCCAGGACACGGGGGTCAGGGTGACTGAGCCCCCATCAGCCAGGACACGGGGGTCAGGGTGACCTGGGCCCCCATCAGCCCAGGACACGGGGGTCAGGGTGGCCTGGGCACCCATCAGCCCAGGACACGGGGTCGGCTGGCCCCATCCCCAGGACACGGGGGTCAGGGTGGCCTGGGCCCCCATCAGCCCAGGACACGGGGGTCAGGGTGGCCTGGGCACCCATCAGCCCAGGACACGGGGGTCAGGGTGGCCTGGGCACCCATCAGCCCAGGACACGGGGGTCAGGGTGACCTGGAGGCCTTGTCAGCCCTGGACATGGAGTTGGGGCGATCTGGGACTCTGTCACAGGTTTTCTCAGGCCCTGTTGTCTCTAGACGTAGGGCTTGTGCTCCCTTAACCTGTCAACCCTGGATATGGGTCAGGGTCTTGTCCACCTGTCAGTCCCCTGGACGTGGGTTTTAGGGTCCATCTGCCCTTTTCGGTACCCCTGGACCCAGAGCCCTGTGGGCCCTAGACACACCCTCTCCCCAGTGCACTCCTCCCATTGCCCGGGACACAGGCACTCCCAGACATCCCTTGTGTCCCCTTGCGCTGAGTGGACCACTCCCTCCATGTCCACCTCCTCAGGACCCGGCGTGTGGACCAGGGGTCCTTCCCGCACAGTGGCTGACATCTGTTCTCAGAGTCCTGCACTGCCAGACCTTCCACCCCTGGGCTGCTGGTCCCTGGTGCCCGTACCCTCCTGTCACCTCCCTGCTGACCCTCTGAGCTCAGCGTCCCTGGGCCTGTCACCTCCCAGGGCAGCAGTTACTCTACTGTCCTGAGTCCATTTCTAGGAACCCAGCCCTGAGCTGTCCTCCAGTCTGTGCCCCTGCCTGATGTCCTTCTCCCGGAGAGCACTGGCCCCAGCTGACCTTGGCTCCCTCCTCCCAGGCCCTGGGGACTAACTTCCTCCCCACCCAACAGCCCTCACCCCGAGGAGTGACAGCAGGCCTGGGCCTAAGAGCAGGCCTGGCTGCTTGTCATGGTCCCCTCCGGTGAGCCACCGGCTGTGGGTCAGTGTGTCTTCCGGGCAGCTCTTCCCTGAGGCCCTGTGCGCAGGAAGGGGTCAGGCCGGCATGGGTGGGCTGAGGCCCCGAGATGGCCACCGCCATTCTTGGGTTTCCAGAGGTGGCTCTTCTTACCTGGAGGTCACACGGGCTCCACTGGCCCTAGTGGCTCAGCACCCCAGCCCTCGGGCAGTCAAGGTGATGGGTTCCTGCAAGGTCTTGTGGCAGGGAAGGTTGAGTCCAGGGTAAGCACTCTGTCGTCACAGGCGCTGACGTCACACCCAGGTCTCTCTGAGCAGCCTGACGATGGGCTTTGCCTCCTGAGTCACCCCATACCCTGGGTGGAAGCGTCTCCGTCGTGACCAGGCTGAGAGGTGCCCACCGCAGACAAGCCTAGCCTCTGCTCAGGGCGTGGTGAGAGGGGCTGGCTGGGGATCAGTGTGCCCCAAATGGGGCAGCTGGGCACCATGCACTCGGCACGCCCAGCTCCTCGCAGGACGCAGGAGAGAGGGAACCACGAGGCACGTTCCTGGCTGAGCAGCAGGGCTGTCGTGTGGGGCTCTGGAGGGAAAGTGGTGCACCTGCAGCCGGGCCAAGTGTCACACCTGTGGCTGGCATTTCTCTAACGCTCCTGCTGCTTGACACAGAACCACGCTTTCTTCCTGAGCCCTGCGTGTCAGTGCTGGGAACCGGGTGTGGTGCTGGGCACACGAGTGTCACTTTAGGTCCTCCTTCAGCAAAGAGTTTGTGTGCTCCTGTGTGCACCAGGCCCCGCGAGCAAAGATAAGCACTGGACCCATGGGGCCCCAGGGAGGAGGAGTTCAGGGAGCAGTGACACTGCAGGAAAGCCCTGTGACTCGGGACGCCCTCCTTAGTGATGGAGCTTGAGCCCTGCGTACTGTCCGTGTGTGGCACACGGCCTGCCCTGCATGGTTCCGAAGAGGGTGTGCAGTGGCCCAGCTCCCCTGGGCTAGGATGGGGTGCGATGTGGGCCGGAGTGCCCTTTGGTGTTCCTGCTGCACCCACCACGGTCCCTATCCCTCTACTCCGTGCTTGCCTGGGCCTGCACAGGGAGCCACCTCATGCCCTGCCCCTCCTTGGCCTTCAAGTGCCTGTCCAGATGTCCTTCCCGACCCCACAGCTGGGCCTGTCCTGGGGGGATCCCTCCTGGGTCTGCTGCTGAGCTCATGGTGCTAACCTTATGCCTAGGAGTCCCGGCCCTCCCCTGACAGATGGCAGCCCCAGGATGAAGACTGCCCCTTTCTGTGCTCGCTGGGCCTAGTGGTGAGCGAGGGAGGCATGGCTGGCCTTGCAAAGGAGGCTGCTGGCTGCTGACTCTAGAGTCTAGGGTCAGCTGGTTTTCAGGAGATGGAGAGAATTCCTGAGTCCTGGAGGTGGCCCCTAAGGTGTGTGTCATGAGAGTGGCGGGTGACTCGGGCTCTGGGAACGGACTAGGTTGGAAGCCCAGCTCCCCCATTCAGTGGCCCTTTGACGTGGCCCCTGAGCCTCCGTCTGCGCTGTGAAACGGGGTTCACGCTGAGCACTACACCTGGGGTCAGGTGCGTGCTGAGGGCTCGGCGAGGTGCGTGGCCGTGTCAGGGCAAGGCGAGCGGGGCCGCTTGTTACAAGGCTGCGCAGGGAGCGCTCGCGTCTGTCCACAGTGGAGAGTTGGCATTTCGCACGGAGCCTGGGTCTGGCGTGGCGTTTGTACTAAGCCAGTGAGGGAATCACTGGAATCTGGTGTTCCTCACAGAACTGCCAACACGGTGTGTTTTCACGTTGACGTCGTGATCCCTTCACGCGCGAGAGCAAGCTGCATCTCCGGCCTCCCACGCCGGCCGGGAGCGGCGTCCCGGTGCTCTGCCTGCAGCCGCCGCGTGCTGCGCCTCCCCCGGCGTCACGCTGCCCTCGTCTCCCCAAAGGCCCTGTGTGGCTCTGCTGGGGCTGCCGTGACACGGTGCCACACACCTGGCGGCCCTCACCCTCAGCAGCTTACTCGCCCGGCGGTGGAGGCCAGAAGTCCGGCACCACGCCACGGTGGGCCGCGCTCCCTCCGGAGGCTGGGGAGGGGCCGCCCGCCTCGGCAGGCTCCGGTGTCCCTTGGCCTGTGGCTGCGTGGCTCCCGTCTCTGCCTCCGCCTCCGCACGGTGTTCTTCCCCGTGCCTGTGCCTTGCAGGGTGTCCTCTCAGAAGGACACCGGTAGTGTCAGGGCCACCCTGTGACCTCGTCACAGTGTGGTCTCATCTGCCAAGATCCTGTTTCCAAGTAAGGTCCTGTTCACAAGTACGGGCCGTTAGGACTTCAGCGTGTCCTTTGGGGGGCGCAGTTCACCCACCACAGCCAGCGAGGGGAGGCCGTGTCCTCACACGCAGACAGCGTCCTGGGAACAAGCAGGCCCCGCAGGGCGCCCGGTGAGGCGAGAGGCGCCGCTGTGCCGTCTGGGCGCAGAAGCCTCCCGAGGACGGGCCTGGGGTCGCGGCTGCACGGTCATCTCTCCAGCCCACACATGGCAGCAGCTCCTCCTCTGGGCCCTGGGCTTCCGATGGTGACTCGGTCTGCAGGCCTCAGAGAGGTGGCCCTTCCTCGGCCTTTCCTCGGCATTTCTTCAGTTACAAAGTAAACAGAGTTTATCAAACACTAGAAACAATATTTAACAGATAGCGACCTCTCTCCCATCTGATGCTCTGGGGCAAGACGGTGGCAGCAGCAGGCGTCGGCTGCGTGTTTTGCGCAGGGGCAGTTCTGAAAGGGGTGGGGTTGGGGGTCGGCTGAAATCCCTCTCGCAGTCTCCCAGCCCCGGCCCCTTGTTCCCAAAGGTCAAACGCAGGCAGCTTCAGTCGCCACCCTGTGCAGGGAAGCCACCGGTAGACGCCATTGGTGTCACTTTGGCATGGCAGACAGGAGGGGCCTTCCCGGGCCTCGGGGACTTGCGCTTGCCCGGGCGTCCAGGAGGAGGGGTGTGTGTCTCTGAGGTAGCAGAAAGCCCCAACTTGGCTCCTTTTGGTTTTCCCTCCTGTCCTGGCACGCTTCAAATGGAGGTGTCGGCACACACGTGAAGAGGTGAAGTAGGTGAAACTTGAGCGCGCAGTGTGCCGCGTTTACCGGGCACACCCCGCGCAGCCACCCACCCGCTTGGGTCCCAGAGCAGCTTCCCAGCCCCCCTCGTGCCCCTCCTCTCCGCTCCCCACACCGCCACCGACTTGTGCCACCGCACAGTGTGTCCCCTGCGTCTGGCTGCTCTCACCCTGTGGCCTGCCCCCGTGTCCAGCCTCCTGCTGGCCGCACACACGCCGCTCCACGGACACAGCTGCACATGTCCGTGTCTGCCTGACACACGGATGCCAGACTCCGTGGAGTCCGGGTGGGCACGCGATCCACCTCCGGAGTCCAGCCTGCCCTCCACAGCGGCCAACGCCGACCTGGCCCCGATCGGTCCCTGCTCGCTAGTGTCCACCTCGTCCCCGGTGGCCGCCCTGCTGGGGGACGTCTGACGCCACGACGGTCCTGCGCCTGGGAGGGGTGCCGCCTCCTCCCTCACACCAGCTCCGTGGAGCGGGGAGAGGATGGGGGCTGCCGGCGTCCTCCTGACCTGGTCACCTGGCCCTGGCCCCCGTGCTCCGGCGCCTTCTCCAGCACTGCTGGGCTCTCTGGACTCAAAGCCAAAAAGCGTGACCTGGCATGGGGCCAGGTTCCGGAACCGGCACCTGAGGAGGCATCGCCCGAGTGGCCTTTATTCAAGCTGCCACTGGCCGGGCAGGTGGCGGCTGGGGACCGCCAGGGCCCTGACCCTCCACCTGGGCTCAGTCCCCGCTCCCCCCCTTACCAGCCGCCTCATGCCAGGCAAGTTGCTGAGTGGCTGTGTGCCTCGGTTTCCCCACCTATAAACTGAGGGTAAGAGTGAGTACTGCCTACCTCCCAGCATCGTGAGGGCTGCATTTCAAATAAAATGCTCACAAAGAAGGAAAGAGGGAAGAAAACCACACAGAAAAAGATCTGCAGAGCCCACTGGGAACAGATTTTAAAAGCTTGGCGAGAAGAAACGTGTCGTCCCCACAGAAACCAGGAAATAACTACGAGGCGCACGGGGACAGCAGAGGTCAGCAGGGAGCCCACGGGGCCACCGGGGAGCCTGAGTGCCGTGGTGCTGCCAGACTGGCCTCCAGGGGCCCCGCAAATGGCACCACCTGGGTAATTACTGGGAAATGAGCCTCCAGCAAGGCATTGGGCCGGCCCAGGACGCCTCTGGGGACAGTCCCAGCTCAGCTGGCTGCATTCCCAGGGCAGGCCCTGCACACCCAGCTCTGCGGACACGTCCCTCAGCCTGCCGCTGAGCCCGGACCCCACGCCCTCGGCCCCCCGCCCCTGCCAGCCCCGGCCCCACCACTAGCAGGGAAGGCGGACGCACAGCCCTGGGGAGACACTCCTGGCCGCTCCCAGATTTTCTGTTTCCAGTTTGTTTTCAATGAGCTCCTGTTGCCTTTGTCATTCAAAAGACTAAATTTCTCGTAAGGTCTCAACTTTGAGAGTAGAGATCACACTTGGTGTCCACATAGCCATTGTTTCCCCCATCAGTGCCGTGTTCGTAAGCGACTGAGGTGCTCAACGCTGTGATAAACATGTGAGTGTTCTGAGCACGTTTAAGCAACCGTGTCGCCGGGTCAAGTGTATGAAATGCATTTTCGACTTCATATTTTCAACTCACAATGGGTTTACCAGGCCGTGGCCATCTGTAAATACTGAGAGCGTGGATCTCGGCATCTGGGCACCAGCCTAGACGCCACCGTGGGCAGTGAAGTGCTGGCTGGAGGTGGCTAACGCGTGACAGTGGCTGTCCGCACCACAGCCCAGCTCCTTGAGACCAACACGGGCTCTCGGTGGGAGGCTCCTGGCCAGGGCACGCTGTGGGGAGCTGGACTCCAGGCCAGCTCCGCTAGGGAGGTGGCCTCATGTGCAAACCAGGGGTGCTGCTGGGAGCAAGGCCCAGGAGATGCTGCTAGGAGGGTGCTGGCCCGGCGCCCGGCAGGGTGTGAAAAGTGGCCCCTCATCAGTGAACCTTCCCCTCCCTTCCCCAGGAACCTGGGTGTGATAAAATGGCCACTGTCGACAGACTGGGCTCACAGCACACCACTGCCCCGTGCCGAGCAGGGGTCCGTGTTGCTTTGGCTGATAAACCACCCTGTGTCCCCGCGGGCAGCCCCGGCATGACCCTGCTGTGCTGGTGAGGCTCGGGGAGCCCCAGGAGCTGCCCTGGGTCACACAGCCCAGACACAGAGACGGTGTTACGAAGGCCACGTCTCTGAATTCCATGTTGGCATCTCTTCCAGAACTTCCCGGTCCACTCTACCTGCCTGGAACTTTCTCTCCCAAGTTCCAACAAGGGTCTTTGCCTCTCTTGCTCACCTCATCCCTCTCCTCCCTTTGTCTTGGGCTTATCTGCGGCTGCCACCAGGGCCCCAGGGAGCTTCCTTGACCATGAAGTGTACCCTGCAGTGCCCTCTGCCCCATCAGGCGGTGGGAAATTTGAGCAATGTAGGGCCCAGAACACACCACGGGGCATGTCCAGCACTCAGCACGTGCTTCCTGGAAGTGAGTCACCTCAGCTACCGTAGTTATCACCATCATCATCACTGTCGCTGCCGTTGTCACTGTCATTGTGATTTGGGTGGTTTTCCTAAACCTGCAATGTAGCCTGAACTGGTATTCGGCCTTATCTCATAAGCTGCATTTTGGGGACGCCGTGGGTGCCCAAACGTGTACATTCGTGGCTCCTGGCACACGGAAAAGGACAAAGCTTTAGAGTCCCAGACAGACCTGAGTCCAAGTCCCCGCTTTGCCTTCGTAGCCCAGCGGCCTTGAGAACTGCTGAACCACTTTGAGTCTCTCCGCCGGGAGTGGCGGGCCTCGGGCTGGTCCCAAGGGCGTCTTCAGGAAGTCAGCTGTGCAGTCGGTCAGGCAGCAAATCTCCAACTCAACTTGCTGCTGTGAAAAGTGCCTGGGAGGTTCCTGAGGTCCAGACAGGAGCGTCAGGCTCCAGGGACACAGCTGTGGGCAGTCCCTTGAGGGCCCTTGCTCTGAAAGGGGAGGCAGACAGCAAGGGACAGTGAGGCAAGGACGCCTCCTTGCATGAGTGACCAGTGCCTTGAGCAGGCCACATGGTCACAGGATACCAAGGGTCCGGGCGGCCTTCCTGATGGGGCAGCACATGGGCGGAAACCTGCAGCCCAGAAGCAGGCAGCGTCCGGAAGGGCTGGAGAAGGATGTGCCAGACCAAGGAACAGCCTCTGAGAAGGGCCTGAGGCGGGAGGTGCGTGGCTCACAGAGGGACGGAGGGCAGCGGGCCAGTGGCCTGTCGGCAAGGGGCTTGCGCCGTGCACACCTCCCCCGTCTGGGCTGCAGCGTGCCCGGGGCCTGCATTGGAGAGGGACGGGCGCCCCAGCCGTGGGCGAGGCCGGGTGCTGATGAGCCCACTGAACCCAGCAGGGTGTTCCTTGGGGCCAGGTGCCCCTCAGCAGGCAGGGAAGGTTGGCATGGCACGTCCTGAGGAGTCTGCCCTGCAGAGATTCTGGTCCCAGAGAGGAGGACGGTGCCTCCAAAACAGGCAGGAGGCTCCAGGTGGGAAGGCCACCGCCTCCTCACGCCTCAGTCTTTAGTGCAGTCTCTGGAAGCCTCTTAGCCATAGCGCGTGGCCGGAGAGCAGCCAGCAGCACTGGGTCCACACCTGTCCTAAGGCGTCGGTGTCGTCCCTACAGGAGGCGAGTCACCTCCCAGCGCTGCTCCCTCGAGTTTCTGGAAGATGCGGTGGGATGCGCCTCAGTACAGAGGTATGTGCCCGCCCGCCCAGGCTCCAAGGCCCTGCGTGGGCCACCACCGACCCTTGCGGGGCGGAGAACGGGTCCTGGGTGGGAAAGAGTGACCTGTTTTCTTACCATGCAGAACCAAACACACCTCCGGGTCCCCAAGACACAAAGGCCTGAAGAAGACGCACTTCATCAAGAACATGCGGCAGTACGACACCAGGAACAGCAGGTGCCGGGGGCAGCCCCGGGCTGGGTCCCTGAGCCCGTCGGGGTGGGGCTGGGATCCTGCCCTGGTCGGCCACGTCAGCTGCCCCCAGCTCACAGGCCCCCACCTGGCCGGTGCCCCAGGCCCCTCTAGCAACAGACCCTCCCCCATCACGCCTTCCTCCGTGTAACCGAGCTCCGCCGGTCCCTGGCGTGTGCATGGCGGGCCCGCCCTCCTGGATCCCAGGAGGTGAGGAACCACCTGTGGACTAGTAGGAGCTCTAGTAGGAGCACTAGTAGGAGCTCTAGTAGGAGCACTGTCGCAAAGGAAAACTGGAAACACAGAGAAGGGTTTAGCTGTGAGATGTGTCCAGGGAGCAGGGCTTGGTTTTATTTGGGAGAACGAAGGGGAGGTCGAACCAGAAACCAAAGTGGGTCCCAGAACGGCAGCTGGTACCCAGGCCCACCCTGCTCCTGCCCCCTCCACAGGATCGTGCTCATCTGTGCCAAGCGATCGCTGTGTGCGGCCTTCTCGGTCCTGCCCTACGGAGAGGGCCTGCGGATCAGGTGAGCAATCCCAGGGCGCCCAGGCCCACTGCATCCCACAGGAACACGCCTAGCCCGGCGTGTCGGCTTCCGCCAGAGCTCCTCGGGAACTCGGAATGGCCACTTGGGTCCTTGCTGTCCCGCAGGGGCCGTGGCTTCTGTTCGGGCCACGCATACACAGCTTGCCCAGGATGTCCATCCCCTTGTGGACGCAGCCACGCATCATTACAACCAGCCCGGGCACTTGTGCGTGATTCGGGAAGAAGGAAATGGCTGTTGGGTGGTGACAGCACTGTGTGTGACCCTGGCATAAAAATAGTGACAGAGGCCAGGCACGGTGGCTCCTGCCTGTAATCCTAGCACTCTGGGAGGCCGAGGCGGGTGGATTGCTCAAGGTCAGGAGTTCGAAACTAGCCTGAGCAAGAGCGAGACTCCGTCTCTACTATAAATAGAAAGAAATTAATTGGCCAACTAAGTATATAGAGAAAATTAGGCGGCATGGTGGCCTTTAGTCCCAGTACTGGGAGGCTGAGCAGGAGGACGCTTGCACCAGGAGTGTGAGGTTGCTGTGAGCTAGGCTGACACCACAGCACTCACTCTAGCCTGGGCAACAAAGTGAGACTCCGTCTCAAAAAAAAAAAAAATAGTGACAGAGAACCCTGACCTGTGAGGGCCACAGCCAGGTCCCAGGGTCTGAGCCGAGCCGCTGAGGTGTGTGACCGCAGGGTGAAGGGTCACCCGCTCCTGGTACGCAAGCTTGGGCAAAGTGGAGGGAGGTGCTGCCACCGCCCAGGGCGTTTTGGCAGGTGGCGTCTGTCACCATGGAGGGGCTCAAGGACACCCCTGACAACAAAGGTGCTCCGTGGTGTGCGTCTTCCGGTCACGTCCATTCTGCTCTTCCCGCGAGGGGTCGTGTGGATACCGCTGTGGCAAGTGCTCTGCGCAGGCAGGCTGAGCGGCGGCGGCACCCTGGGGCTGAGCGGCTGCCCGCCAGCAGCAGGGCTGAGCCCCCTCCCCGTGCATCGCAGCGACCTGAGGCTGGACGTCCAGAAGCAGCGGCACCCGTCTGGCGGCACTTCCGTTTCCCCCGAGATGGTCTTTGAGTTGGAAGGCGTTGAGCTGGGAGCGGATGGCAAGGCAAGTGTCCGCGGCCGCTGGCGCCCACAGGCACCCGTGGAGTTGAGCGGGAAGGCTGCAAAGCATGGGCATGGGTGGTCGGGCCCAGTGGCCCCGTGAGCGCAGCCCTCACGCCTGGGGCCGCTCCCCTCACGGCCGTACCGAGAACGGCCGCGTGTGAGCTGCACGTGGCCACAGCTGGCAGCTCGGGCACCTCACCCCGTCTGTGCAGGGCTCTGAGGTCGGGTCTGCAGAGCAGCGAGAACGCCTGGTGCTGCAGAGCCCAGACAAAGCGTGGTAAAGTTGGTGTTCTGGAATGTTCTTGTTACGTGAGTGTCAATCTCAAGGGCTGCCTCAGTGGCCTTGCCTGAGTTGTGCGTGTTCATTTCCCACGCAGGGCCCAGTGCGTTCGTGTCTGCGCCTTGCGCAGTGGGCGGCTGGGCAGATGGGGCTCACTCTGAGCTCCAGTCTTGGGAAACAGGACTGAGCCCCAGCACACTTGCCTCTGCAGGTCGTGTCTTACGCAAAGTTCCTGTACCCGACCAACGCCCTGGTTGCACACAAGAGTGACGGCCACGGACCACCGCCCCCCCCTCGGCCCAGCGTCTCCCGGGCTCTGCCGGGCTCCAGACACAAACCTGTCCCCGCCAAGTCGGCGCCAGCAGGCACAGAGCTAGGTAGCCGCGTGCCTTGACCTCAGCACAGGGACGGCTGCGTGGCAGGCAGACAGACCCTGGGGCAGACAGAACCGGGGCCCCAGGCTGTGGAGAGGAGCCATCCAGAGGTGGCTCCAGGGAGGCCCCTGCCCCTCAGGACTCCCTTTCTTCACCCCAAGCCCTGGGCCCTTGGGAGGGAGGGGGCCGTGGCTGGGGGCCCCCCTCCCGGACCCCAGGAAACCCCCTTGTCCGCCCACCATCCCTCAGGGTGGACAGAAGCTCCACTAGAGGCACCGTTGGGTCAGGGGCTGCCTCTGCTTACAGGGAGCGATGTGGGGGACGCCCCGGAGTACAACCCCGACCTCCTGGACGACCCGCAGTGGCCCTGCGGCAAGCACAAGCGGGTCCTTATCTTCGCGTCGTACATGGTGAGCACCCTGCGCCAGGGCCTGTGCACTCGCAGGCTGTGGGCACTTGTCCCCAGCACCCAGGAGCCCAGACATCAGCAGCCACAGGCCATAGCAGGGCAGGCTAGTGGTGCCGGCCACGCCCTGGAGTCAGCCCTGGCCCTCCAGCCCTCAGTGCTTGGAGCCAGGTTCCCTCACTGGGGTCACACAGCTCTGGTGCCATTTTCTACTCACAGAGGCTCAGGTGCCTCTGAAGTTGCTCCAAATTCACATTTGCAAACCCAGGTCACGTGAAACCCACCCAGATGGTGGGACCGCAGGTGGGCCCCGGGGCGGGCAAGAGGCCGGCCTAGCCTGCCGCGTCTTTATTGCAGACCACGGTGATAGAATACGTGAAGCCCTCAGACCTCAAGAAGGACATGAACGAGACCTTCAGAGAGAAGTTCCCGCACATCAAACTGACGCTGAGCAAGATCAGGAGGTGAGGACAGCGGGGCTGCCCTGAGCCCGCGCTCCCAGCCCTTCACCCCTTCCCCCCTCCTGGAGGCCTTGTCAGCCCCTCTCCAGCCCTTCCTCACCTGCAGCCGCCCCTGCACCCCACCCACCTCACCTCCCCACTCACCTCCCCACCCGCCTGGCCTCACCTCTGCAGACCCTCGGAGCAGCCCAGGATCTTTTTAAAGTCCTAGTCCAGCACGTCCCTCTGGTGCTCAGGCCCTCCTAGCCTGTGCCACTTTGTTCAGAGTGGACGCCACAGCTCTTCGTGTGGCCCAGAAATCCCCGTGCTACATGCCAGGGACATTCCAGGGCCACCCCAGCTGTCCCTCTGCTTTCATAACACACATGCCATGGTCGCTGCCACAATCCCCACATGGGCCCCGCTGTGAGGACGTGGCAGAGCTGCCCTGAGCCTGGGGCCCGCCCTGCGCCCAGCCCAGTGCCTGGGGACCTGCCTTTCCTCCTGTGGCGCCACCATTCCCCTGCCTCCCTTCTGTCTCTTCCTAAAACCGCCCCTTGCCAGAGGTCCCTCCCACCTTACTACCTACCCCACCACTGCCAAGTAGGGTCTGTCCTCTGTGGCCCCAACCGTGAGGACAGTGCGGGCCACCCACACCACACCAGTGCGAGCAGGTGGAGGCTGAGACCCCGCCTGCCCCATGCCCATGCAGCCGTGTGCCCCGGCGCGGGCCGTTCCCTGGAGGACGTGGCACCTTTTCTAGTGGCCCAAAGGCACCTTGCCCAAGCCTGGGAGGGTCCCTGCTGCTCTGCCCCAGCCAGAGCCTTGCCCCTCGAGGACTTGGCTCCTGTCTCCACCCGCAGTTTAAAGCGGGAGATGCGGAACCTCTCCGAGGAGTGCAGCCTGGAGCCCGTGACCGTGTCAATGGCCTACGTGTACTTCGAGAAGCTGGTCCTGCAGGGCAAGCTGCACAAGCAGAACCGCAAGCTGTGCGCCGGGGCCTGCGTGCTGCTGGCCGCCAAGATCAGCAGCGACCTCCGCAGGAATGAAGTGAAGCAGCTCATCGACGTGAGTACAGGCTCTGCTCCGGCCGGGCTGCCACGGGCACCTCTCAGCCCAGCCTCAAGGGCCTCGAGGGGCAAGGCACAGGCCAGAGGGGGCCATCTACTCGTCTCATTAACATCTGTCCAGGGCTACTGCCCGCTGTCAGGCCGGCCGGGCATCCACGCCCAGAACCCACTGACTTAGCGGGAAACTCGGAAGAGGGAAGGGACCCCTCCTGTTTTAACCTTTCTCTCTTCACTGCAGAAGTTAGAAGAAAGATTTCGATTCAACAGGCGAGACCTGATTGCTGTGAGCTAGGCTGATGCCACAGCACTGACTCTAGCCTGTGCAACAGAGTGAGACTGTCTCGAAAAGAAAAGAAATAGACTCACTCATGCATTGAGAACTGATGTGTTACAGGTGAGCAAAGACCGTGCCGTAGAAAAAGGATTGTCTTTTCAACAAATTGTGCTGGAAAGCATGGCTACTCATAGACAAAAGAAAAAATTTAACTCAGTCCACACCTCACACGAAAATGGGCTTAAAATGGACCATAAATATAAATGTAAAACTATAAACTTCCAGAAGAAAGTAGAAAATGTTTGTCATCTTGGGCTAGGTGAAGATGTCTTCACACCTGAAGCATGATTTTCTGAAAAAACAAGTAGAATTTTATCAAAATTTTTAACTTAAGTTCTTCCAAAGACACTGTTAGAATGAACATACCAACCACAGACTGGCAGGAAATATTTGCAAAGCCTATATCTGATAAAGAACCTGTATCCAGAATATGTAAAGAGGTCTCAAACTCAGCGATAAAAAATAAACAACCCAATAACAAAATGAGCAAAAAATTTGGCCAGATTCGCCAAAGAAGATAACGCAGAAGACAAGCGAGTATGCTCAACATCATTAGTCACGAGGGAAACTCGACTTACACCACGGTGAGAACTGCTGCCACGGTGAGTGCCTGAAACACAGAGACCGGCCTGCCATGCAGGGCTGGCTTCACAGGCTGTGACTGTGCAGTGACACAGAGCCCCTGCACGGAGGGCCCTGCACCTGGTTTCATACCCTACTGTTTTCCTCCTGAAATCCTTAATAATTTTCCAACAAAGAGCCTGGTGTTTTCAGTTTGCCCCGGACCCAGCAAATTATGCAGCCAGTTTTGACTCCACACGTTAGCCAGGATGGCAGAAACTGGAGCTCTCATACACGGCTGGTAGGAATGTAAAATGGAACAACTGCTTTGGGAAACGGTTGGGCAGCTTCTTAAAAAGTTAAGCGTTTACCTGCCAAATGACCCAGCAATCCCACTCTTAGGTACAAACCCAGGAGAAATGAAAATATATGTTCACGCAAAAACTTGTACTGAAATGTTCACAGCTGCGCTACTTGAAATATCCAAAAATTGAGACGATGTGTATGTCCGTGTCCAGGTAGATGAATAAATAAATCACAGTACATCCTGCAATGGAAAACTACTGAGTGACGGGATGGGAACTACTGATGGACCCAGCAACGTGGTGACTCTCAGAACGATCATGTGGGGAGAAAGAGGCCAGACTCCTGGCAAAGAATAAGTATTATATGACTTCATTTATATGCAACTCTAGAAAATGCAGACTAATTGATTTTGACAGAAATCGTATCAGTGGTTCCCTGGCGTGGGGAGGGGTGGGCAGGTGGGATCGCAGCGAGACACACTGGGGACTTGGGAGTGATAGAATGTGTGTTATCCTGATGGTGGTGACAGCTTCACAGTTTCTGGCAAAAGTCAGAAGTTATCAAATTGTGTCCTTTAAATTAGTGGATTTTATTGTGCATCAATTATACCTCAATATTTTTTAGAAGACTACAGTGCTATTTGACAAGACTATAGCGTGCACACGCGCACGCACGTGCACACACACACACGGTATTGCAATCTGCTGTCCCCTGGCGCAGGGTCTTCAAGGCCAAGTTCCTCAAAGGAAAACTGACCCTCACTTCCGGGGCGCATGAAATCTGAATGAGCCCTTCTTTTAGAAAACCTGCTGCACAAAATGCCAGACCCCAAAACGGCTAGGGGAGTGCTCCCCCCACCCCCCGCCAGGGGGAAGCCATGGCAGGTCTCCCCATCAGCAGGGCCTCCAGGGATCTGCAGGGGGCTGGCACTGCTTGTAGGGCAGGAGCCTTGAGGAAGATGTCCCCAGCCCCACTGCACTGTCCCCAACAGCCACTAGGGTGTGCACGAGAGCCGCGCTGGAGCAGGGCGGGCTCACCTGCCAGCTGCCTGCTGGCTTCCCTGCTGTGGAAGGGGCTGAGCCTGTCCCTCAGTGCCTTACACACGCCCCATGCAGGAAGTTGCTTACTGAGCCTCCTGTGGGGCCTCTGCGATGGGCCAGGGCCAGAGGACAGGTGTGAAGGAGGGTTTGGGGGCAGGAGGGCCCGGGACTCCAAGACAGTCAGGCTGAGCCCTTTTTGCAGGATCCCTGGGCAGTTCCCGGGGCTCAGAGTAGCAGCTGCCTCCTCAGGGCGATCCCAGTCAGGGTCTCTGAGTGCCCCCCACCCAGCGCACCCTGCTTCTGCGCACCCTCTGCTCCCAAGTGCCCCGTATAACTTTCACGGCCAGCGTAACATTGGCATCATGGGCTGGGGTTCCACCTTCTCTCTGCCTCTTTAGCGGTGTGGAACCCGCCTCTTCAGCTCCCCCAGGTTTGTCTCAAGTCCTTGGCACAGTGATTTGCACGTCCAGTTCCTCTCCAGCTAGCTCCCCTGCCAAGAAACCTCGTGAAGTAACCAAGGACTTTTGAGTTTTCCTTCATAGCTCTAGCTGGTCTCAGATATGGCCCACTCAAGCATCTTCTCCTGTTATCTTACCTTAACCTCCTGTCACGGGCCAGGGAGTGGGGGCCTCTGGGTGACCCCCACCTCTACCCCATCAATACCTTACACCTGTTTATGTGGACTTGGTGCTTCGTGGAAAGGATGACAGTTCTGCTCCTCGCAGAACTCCAGGCCCACCAGCAGCTCCACCAGACATACAGCTCCCAATAGAGGTAACCAGGACAGCGCCTACACTCACCCACCCTCTCTTCACATGCTGTACCACTCGCTGGACTCTGAAACTAGGTATCTTACAACGGACCCGGTGCCTGAGAAGACTTCAGGATGGGGTAACAGGCTCTCTTCTATATAACGCACCTGTCCTCAGGCCAAGGATCCCCTTAACCCAGAGGGTGCACCCAGGAGGAAAGGAACGGACTGGCAGCTGCCTATGCCAGAGAATGCTGGCCTAAGCCCCAGGCAACTTTCCTCTGAAAAGCAACCTCTCTGCCACCAAGATACCAACCTGGAGGGCACCTGCATGCATGAACCACATAAGGGAACCTGGACTCCTAAATACCATTCAGGTTTACGAACCTATA